TGTAACATCATTTATAACTTAAATAATGAGATTGTAATCCAACTCATACAGAATGAAAAAGACAGATAACTTTTTTATAGTAAGTATAAAGAATTTTGTTACATAAAAGGTCATAAGTCATGCATCGGAAGAATAAATAAGTCGGATTTATTATGAAACAAATAAAATATCAATGAACTTCTGAAATATTGAGCGTATTAAAGTGTATTAAAATACAAACTAATTTAGTTGAAGAAAATTATGAATAATATACAATATTATTATACATTATTTCGAAATGTAACGAAGAGGTATAATAAAAAATCCAGACGTAATAAAGTTTGTTCTTTTAGGAAATTGTATCAAAGACAATGAGAATCTGTTATTAATTTCACAAAATGTCGAATGGTGCAGTTATCAACTTTTGTATATCTCGAACACCAAAGCTACACACACTGGGTCGATTAAACGAGAAAGTATGCGATGATAAGGCACATGACGCGACAAAGGATGCTGTCGCATGGCGATCGCCTCCTGCTGTGCGCGATGTATATTTTTAGAAATATTTTATGAGGGTGATTCGCGACGATGTTACAGTGAACTTCGATACTATCACAATATAGAAGGAAGAGGATTCTTATGGAATGATACCGGCATGGATGAATGACCGGTCGTACGTGCTCTTTAAGACGAATGAACGATCTTCTCATATTTCGCGTATTTGCAGAAAGTTCCATATCTGGTACACAAAATCGTAGCGTTCGCGCCTGCAGAAAATTCCATTTTACTGATCTATTACAGGACATGGAAACTAGCTGAGCACTATTCTTCACCGGTCTGATGAACATTGTAAAGTAATTTAAAATAAGGGATACGTGTTTCTTTGCAAACATGGAGAAAGGATTATTTGCTGTGAAATTGAAAAATGTAAAGATGTCACGTACTTCTGAAAAGTTAAAGCATAAAAGAATTTCCAATATGATTTATCAACTATGCGTGAAAATGATGCAATGACATCGTGTGTATAAAATTTACATACAATCATTTGCAATAATATTTATTTTTTGTGCAATATAATTAATGAATTATATTTAATTGTTTACTAAAATATTAAATTACGCTTGTTATTTTTTATGTTATCTTATTATATAATTACAATACAGGCACAATGCATCTATATATCCAACGTGTCTAAAGCACCTACATAAAAGCATCTATACACATTCGGAATTATTAGTTCCTCGTATGACTAATTGTGTGTCTTAATAGGAAGACATGCAAATGAAATAATTATTTATTGAATAGCGTTGTACACTCGGATTAACAGTCTTGATCGTTTCTGGAAATAACATGGATGTTGAGAATGATGTGATTAAAAAAATGTAGGACTATATATACATATGTAAGACCTTTAACGTGGGCGGAAAAGCGGCTTTTAGATCCGTTTAGGTTAACGATATACATGCGTGTACTCTTGTAAGCGTCCAAAAATCGTTTCTGCAAATTGCAATGTGCTATATGTCGATAATCTTTCGCCAAATAGAAAATATTTTTTGCTTTGCATTTTGTATTTGATAATTCTGAATTGGGTTGAAGTAATATGCAAGCTCAGCGATTCCTTGTACAAATATTATATAATAATTCTACATTTTTTGAATTACGTTATTTTTTAAAAATTTATTTGTCAGTCTTGAAACATAGTTCTATATTGAAACTGGAGTACGTAATGTAACCAATTAAATTGGTAAACAATTTAATATTAATTGATGTTAATGAATATTTAAAATACCGTAAAGAATTATTGTGAAAAATATTATCTCTCAGCCGGGATTCAATTTATCAAGTAATGTAATTTCGAATATATTTTATTGAATATAAATTTACACGCACCACATGGTATTGCCACATATATAATATTCTTATTAGTTTTTTCACTATTTTTAATATATCATGTATTTATATTGTGTATTATTAATTATTGTATTACGTGATTATAAAAAAACGTGTCGAGAAAACTTTTTGTAACGCATAAATTACTTACAATATATCGCGATTTACTTATACATAGAGTACACAACTGCATGTCGTTCGTATATAGTGATTATAATTGTGATAAATAGACAGCAATATATTTATTAAATGTATCCATTGTAAATAAAGTTTGACTTTCTAATATTGATAATTGTTGGTCTTGCTCAGTCTGCATCTGTTACTTAACGTTATTAGTCGATCGACACAATGTCTGCAATGTGCAAACTTTTCAATTATTATTTATTGTATTTTATCGGATTGATGTAACAGCAATGTCGACACACTGAATTAACATATTACCGTTTGAATTTCCTGGGGAGTTTTCTTGCAGAAATTTTGACATAATTTATTTAACATCTATAAAGAAAGTTTGTTACCATCTTTTCAGAGATATAATTATACATTGACTTCTCAATCATGTATAATTGTAATGCCATTTTTCTGTTGAAGACTCACGGGAGTAGAATGAAGACTGTACTATTTAATTTCTGCGAATAATTTTGTCCACCGTTTTTTTTAACGTCTGAGGAGGGCTCAAACCTAGAGCCAAAACTTGTAGCGATATGTATTTAATTTTAAGTAATTTTTATATTTATATATTTTTTTATACTTAGTTTTATATTTATATATTTTTTTACTTTTCAAATTTTAATTAAATGTACTGACAGTTTAGTATTATTTTTAAATGAAATTTTATTGTTTGACTCTTATATCGCCCTTTCTGATTTATATTGATTATTTTTATATTGAGAGTCCTTGTTTATTTTCATCTTACTTATTAAATGATTGTGTTTTAAAGCCAGAAATTGATCGTGATCTTTGCAAAAGTTAAAATGTAAGAAGAATCAAATCTCTCTTCTTTTATATCGCAGTATTGTTGACAATGACAATTGATTTTCAAGAAACTACTATGGGCTTAACTCTTGGGTATTTTGCGGAAAATGTGATTAAAAAGAATGTCTTAATACAACGGCTCATCCCTTTCTAACGTTAATTAAGCGTCTTCTGGGAAATTAAATGCGATAGTGTGTAGGCGACGGTTTCGCGAACGGGTTCTTGAATCCGCGTCTTAAATGAAAAAGAATTACTTCGTGAATAGATGTACGAGTACGTATCCCGCCACTCTTAAACGAGCGTCTACTCGCTAGTGCAGAAAGGCTGAAGTGAATAACTAGTGCAAAAGGAAAAAGAGTACGAGAGGCGGAAGGAAAGAGAGCTTGTCAACTCGAGAGATCGCGACAAATCGTATTGCAAACAACGCTTACGAGAGAGGCTGATTGTATTCATAATTGATACGTTATTGAGATCACGATCGTTATATTACGCACACAGTAAGAGAAAAGCAGAAAGGTCCTTTTAAAACAGGACGATATTAATTGCAAAATCGATTCGCCTTATGCTCGTTTGCTCTCTTTTATTATCAATTTCGTTTCTTCTCGAGGGGCTCATTTGTTCTTGGAATTTTTAGATCCGATCATAGAGAAAGCTCTTTCTCGGAGGAAAACAATGTACAAGACGATTGACCCGGAAAGAATATTCGAGAAATATCAAAGAAGTTAATTATACGCTATTTGTAGAATATTGTACGTTTTGAAGATATAGGTATTGGACAGATGATTTTGACAGATGTCTCATGCAAGATTTTAGACATGTATTAACGAAAAGATGTAACAGAGGTAGAGAGGAACGAAAATTTAAATGTTAATAGAAACTTTAATTAATAAATCTTATATCTTGACACGATTATAACAGCAGTAAAATTTTGCTCTTCAATTAAATTAAAAGATTTTACATTATTTTTTCTAGCTTAAAGTTGAATAGAAAATATAAAAAATCCTTCAATTTCTTAAACATTAAAATATGATATAAGTATTTAAATTTTAAATGTATAGTTTTTTTCATTCACACACATACATATCGATTTATTATTTTCTTTTTTTTTTTAGAGTTTACGTTATAAGAAATTTTTTTTATTTGCTAGTAATAATAGCCGTTTAATAATAGCTAAGAAATTAAAAAATCACGTCTGTTTTTTTCCCTTCATATTTTATACACAATATAAAATATATATAATTTAGAAAAATTTTATTTATATTCTTTTGTGTTCATGACCTCATATTAATATTCTGTTTATGGTGAATCCACCGTGTTAAATTAAATTTTCTTTATAAGGATGGGGATTTATATTGTTTCTAGGAAATGACAAACATTGTTTACTTTATTCATCCCCATTGTGCGCGTGCGTGAATTCCAGAAGTAAGCGACATACCACAATAACTCCTCGTTGTTACAGACACCCGATATAAACGTAAAGGAGCAAAGGCGCGCGAATAAAGTCGAGGGTTGCGGCGCACGTGGAAGGAGAAGAGAGGATAGGGAAAGGGCAGACAGAGGTGGATCTTGGAAAATACCTACGGGGAGAAATTACTCTGGACATAAAAAATTATCTTCTCCAACTGAGAAGAAGCTAGTTATGATCATTCTTACAATTCTTGATATTTTATCTGTCGCGCGTTGCGAGATAATATTTTAAGCTTTCTGGAGAACGTCCTACGGAAACATGCGAAAAATTAATTCTCTTCGTGCAGTTTCCTCTCTGGATCCGTCCCTGACGGAAGAGGTGGTTATCGCGAGAGAAAGGGTAGGGAATGGTATCGAAACGTGACGGGGAGAGATGGGGAGAGTACCAGTGGGAGAAAACGAGGAGGGAACGGCGGAGAGCGAGCACGCGAGCGAGAGAGAGAGCGAGAAACCGAGCCGTGGCAGGGTATCGATCGGCCAGCAGACAACTACCCCCTATAGCAGGAGACTTCGCAGTGTGCGAGAGACCGATCACGTATACAAGAGTAGTCAGTGGGGTGCTCTCTCGCGGTGCTCGTGGGCCCACGCGGATCCCTCCTGTTCCTCACGCAAGTAGAGGCCACGCATCCGCTCGCGTCCGTTTCACCGATCCAACATCATCCACGTCGCCGTCCACGTCGGCGTGAGCTAGGGTGTGCAGCATTTCGGGGTGTCCGGTTCGCGCCGGAGGGCTGAGAGCGCTCCGAGAGGTGAGACACGTCCTTGTCGTAATTTGCATTTTGCATTCGTGAACCAGCTATCAGCCGCTACCGCGTTACATTTTGTTATCGTAGTCGTTCCTTCCGTTCCCGGCACGAGAATCGCCGCACTGGCGATTCGGTATCGTGTGTGCAGTGTGGCGCACCACGGGCCTTCCGGAGCGACGTGTCGTCCCGTTCGCGGGCTATGGATGACACGAGACGAGATTGCTGTTGGGTACAGCAAGCTCAGTGATGAGTAGAACTCGCGACGGGGATGTAGTCTACTAACGTGATTGTCTTCATCTACCTGTATACCTATCGGTCCCCTCGCTACATTCCATTTTTATCAGACTGTACTGTAGTTACCTATATTGTAAGCTGTGTTATAGCTCTCTATATTCTGTGCTGTCATCGACGCTACCTAGTACCTACCATACGTAATACTCTTATCCTTTTCAATATCGCGTAACAACTCACAATCTACGTTATAGTCCTTTACATTACGTTTCTACTTATCCTGGCTATTCTTTATTGTTTTCTGTTATTTTTATTGCACATTTTACCTAATCTTATCACTTACGTTTCTTTTCTTACATAAAATTTCTGTTTAAATTTCATTATTCCGGTAGGATTATTCTTCTTTTATCTTTTATGACTCTACATTTTACTATTCAGTACCGTACTGCCATCTACTCTTTCAATATTATGTGTTTTATTACCATTCGTTTATTTATCACTACTGTATAATTCTATTGCTAAGACACAGAATTTAACTTAAGAGTGCAAATACGGCGCTTATCACCTAATGACACAGTCAGCACATTGGTGATCAAATTATTGTGCCGTAAGAAAATCGAATCGGGACGTTAACTGTTGTTGTCAGACTGTGTCAGTAATCCTCCATCTTCCCATGTAGTCGCCCACTTACTCCAAATCTTGTTTTCTTCTCCCCACCGATTTACCTCGAGAATCTTTTGGTTGCGATACCGATGTATGAATATGATCAATTGAACTTTTGTGTCTTTAATAAAACCTTTATCGATTATTACGGATTTAATCCGATCCCTATATGTTCATCTATTAATAAATTGCATTTATTAATATACTTATTAAGAGGATTTCGACGATAAATTGTGGTCAAAGTGTGCCATTCTAAGAGTTCGCCGTACCGACTGCAGCTCTTCTCATTAATGGAGCATTTATTCACTTCAGGGAATTCATCGGCAGCACGTTAACGGAAATCTCGATTCTGCTATTGACAAGAATTACTCAGAAAGAGTTATCGATCGGTGATATTTCTCGATTTTACGAGTGTAAATGTACGTGAAGAGTTTCGACTTAGTTTGCCTTCGGCTAGTTTCGTGAGATTAATTAATTAATCGTATAAAGTTCCGACGACCTTTGCTCGTCGGAATCGCCGACTACTCGGGTCAATTATAGACTCTTTGCGCCTGCTTGTAGAGCTTCTTTAGCTCGATAGGTGTACTTTCTTGTGAAATTCACACTCTAAGGATTTATCCAGACTATTTATAAGAGAAACATGTTGTTAGCTATTCGTCGATTATTCGGTACACATCATCGTTATTCACGTTTGATTGCTACACAGATTTAGCATTTAAACATTTTACATTTATATAGGTTTATTGGACTGAATTTTTAGCTCAGTACGTGGAATGTTGCGCGGGGAATTTATTGATGGACAATTTGCTCTTATTGAAACCTGCCGTGGATTTATAGACATCTCGTTGCTAGAACTTTTCCATTATATTAAAGGTCTATTTCGATGTGCAGAATTCGCACAAAAGAACCATCAACGAGAAATATGTCACGTGTTATTAATCAAGCAAATTTCCTTTAATAGATTTATTCGTTAGATTTTGCGAATAAAATTTCTGTATTGTATTAGACATATTCCATATATGAATTTATCGACTTGCAATATTGCTTTTATTAAGAGGACGCAATAACTCGCTATTGTTAAATTATCCTATAAATTTATTAGTCATAAATTTTTAAAATGCATACACTTCCTCTATTTATATTGCGACATTTTCTGTACGTCTTTCTGAGAAATCGATATACGCAGTTGCATTAATAAGTACGCTTCACTTGCTCTAACAAGATTACTAATATAGATGTACGTTCATTGATCGGGTTATATAAAATGATAAAAGAATTCTATGACTTACAGAGAGAGTCAATGAATATTTATAAATTATATTATTTGATAAGAAAAAGAGAAACACCAAGACTATATAATTATTTCCTAGCTGTAGTTTGTTGGACGAATTTCCAAATTGTCTCGTCACACTACAGTTCTGAGAAATTTATATTTAGAAGTGTATAAAAAAAGGGTTATTTTTATATACTTTGTCACATTGTAACTACAACGTATTGAAGAAATTTTATTGTAATCAAAATTAAATATATGTTATTAGAACTTTTAGCTTTCAAAAGAAATTTTTTATCTCAGCTATGATTAATAAGATATTCATGATTAAATATAGGAAATTGCGGAAAAGTTATAAATTAGGCCGTTAACAATTTACTAAATAGTTTCGATTGTGTTTATTTAAACGTAAGAGTTTTTTAGGCTGTTAAAAATATGAATTCAATGTCAAAATTGATAAATTAATATTAATGGGAGATCTTTTAACATACATTTTTACAAAAATTTGGTTATTTTTTCAGTTTCACCATCTGTTTCTTTTGAATCGATTATTTTAAATAAATTTATCAGTTTTAATATCGGAGTTGTATTCAGCGACTTAAACTTATACTTACATAAATTTAATTAAAAGCTATTTTGTAAATTGTCAATGATCTACTTTTCACAACTTTTCCACGATATAAGATTCCATAAAATTAACCATGAATACGTTATTTTTTAACTATATAGTTGATACTAAAAAATCCTTTTAAGAGAGAACTAAAAGTTCTAACAACATACTTAACCTTTAGTTAGTCGTGCGAAAATACTCACGTCGTGAAACAAAATGACTTGGGGTCACGGCGACCTTATGCGACTAATTAAAGGTTAATTTTGATTGCAGTGGAACTTCTCCAGCATGTCAGATATCGTACTTATGATGTAATATGCGAAAACAATTCTTTTTTAATTTTAATTATAAATTTATCAAAATTGTGACGTGTGATAGCGCAATTTGTAAAATGGATTTGTAATCAGCATTTAAAAATCGTAAAAATAACCCAGTTTTGTGTTCCAGTGTTCGAAAAAAAGTCTTTTTTATTGTATAGTCCATAGATCACTTGTCTTCTATTAAGAAATTATAGATTTTTTATTTAGATGCATGAATTTGATGTTTTTTTTTTATTTTCTCATATACAGAAAAAACGGTTTAGCTGGAAATATCTAAAAATTTAACTACCTACAGATCTGAAAATTTTATTGGGCCATTAAAATAATCATGTAAAACGTGTAAAATGGTTACTAGAACGTCAAAATTTTGTGCTCATCATGTTTAAACGTTTTAATTATTTTGATAGGCTAATAAGATTATCAGATCTATAGCGATATATATATATATATTTATATATATGTAAAATAGCTAAATTTTTACTTTAGCAAAATCATTCTTTTCGTGTACCAAAGGCCTTGGAAGTCACGCGTGAGGGATCTATCGATGCGTCCACCGTTAATAAGAGCACGCATTATTTACTCTCATTAGAGCCTGTTAAGAGGTCGGGTCGGCGGCACGTTGCGACTTACGATTTCACGCGTGTGAGATCATCACGAGACTCACTTACTCGCGGCCATCGCCGTTGCCTCCGCCCGACACCTGTATGGCCAAGCCACACACGAGGCAATCGAGTTACATCAGCGACGAGTCATGCTGGAAAACACGACATACTGTCGATCGATAACATTTAAAATCATCCCATTCGCCTTGGCGAGCAGCCAGCGACCATAAATTCAAAACTTTCGTCCTATTTTTCCAACGCTCGCTCTTTTCCTCTCTTTTTCAATTCTTCTTGTATATGAGTTTCTCTTTCTTGAATTTACACGTGCAATCTGTCTGACAGTCTCGTTTCCGTTTTGTTACAGGTCGGGACGATTTACGTGTGATCCAGGAAACAGCGACACGACAGCATCATGGCGTTCGCCGGACTCAAGAAACAAATCAACAAAGCGAATCAGGTAAGCGTTCGTCATGGAAGCGTCTTATTCCTCTGCAACATGACAATGGATCTTCCCGCTGTACGGGATCAATAATATCTTTTCCGTAGAATAACTAGTGTACAAAGGAAAGTTAAGCTTTCAAAGCAAAGCATTCGAAATAACTTTTAACGCATTGAATTTTTTTCTAATATTGAATAATAAATCAATATGAGGTGCTGACAGAAGGAATTATTGTCCGAAGAATCACCTCGCGTATTTTTTTCTATTTATTGAAGAATTCGTTAATTTCTTCACTGAAAAAAAATTTACTAAATCTTAATACATACTTCTTTGAATAGAATTAAATATTTACTTACAGTAAATATTTACTGCAAATAAATTTTTACTTAATTCTATTTAAATGAATATTATACATCGATAAAAAAATAATAGTTAAATCAAATTAATATCCTTGTATCAAATAAATATGTATTTACATTTAGCAAATATTCACTTAGAACTATTTAGACAAATATGCATTAAAATTTAGTTTTTTTTAACACAGTATTTTAATGGACGTCTATGTTTGTAATATGTTAGTTTGCGTAATTGAAATTCGATTCATCGATCACAGAATTGTATCTTGAGCTCTACTTGTTTTAATGATCTATTCTTATTTAGTTAGATGAAGAGATGCTTTTACGCGTTTATTACTCTATCGATTAATACTTACAAAGAGCGTTAAAGGGAGTATCGCATTAACGATTTTAGCGCGCGCGATTCGTCGATTCGACGTATTCATTATATGGAGCACTGTTGAAAGTTTAATCGTCCATGTTCGTATATCGGGCCATATTACGATGACGTTCGTATATCGGGCTACATTACGCCAATTACCGGCAATGCATTGCTACTTAGGCGTCGAGAACTTTTAATTACCAGTGCGGTTCGTCTCTGCGTTACACGAGGTGTTTTAATGCGATTACGCGTCGTCGGGAAACTCGTGTTCGCGTGTAACGCAGCCAGATTCTCGGTATCACCACGATGTACATACTCCGTGACAGTTAATACAATTGGGAAAGCAAGTAAACATGCTTGATGCGTTCCGAAACTCGAGACTTGAAACGCAGGTTAATTTTGTCACTATGTAAAAATGATATGTTTGTATCAAAATGTTATTATATTTGCTTGAATTATTCTTTATATTAAAATTGATATTTCTGGCATTCCGATTGCCCGACGAATGTATGGGAATTTTGTTATTGGAGACTCAGAATTCGAGGGTTGAAATCTAAGAGCCTGGAATGCGTACAATACAAGAGAGAGAGAGAGAGAGAGAGAGAGAGAGAGGGGGGGGGGAATCTCAGAGAATTACCGCAATACATGGAAAAAATGGCTTTGCTGAAATATAAAAAAATTTAGCTAGATATAGATCAGAAAATAATTTTGGATTATCAAAATAATTATGTAAATGCTTAAATTGATGACAATGCTGCAAAAAGATTTAATATTCTACTTAATTATTTTGATAGTCCAAACAAAATTATTTTCAGATTTGTATCTATACTGAAAAAAAAGATTGGCTGCTGCAGTAAATTAAATGATAAAATATGGCATAGAATTTTTTAGTGACTATAGCAGCCAATTTTTTATTATATCAGCCAATTTTTTGTTGTGTTAACGTATCGGCAATGTTAATATAGGATTTCAATAGGTTAACACAATCAAAAATTGGCTGTTGCAACCAATTAAAAATGCTATGCCATATTCAGCCAATCTTTTCTTTCAGTGTAACTAAATTTTTAAATACTTTAGCAAAATCGTTCCATGTATAACTACATATTTTACATTAACAGGTAAATACATTTTTTTCGAACGTGAATCGATTTTCCGCATTTATATGCTGAAAGTAATGCGTTTTGAAGGATTTATTGGGATTTATTTAGTAGAATATTTTTGAAAGAACTAAACTGTTGATAACGGCTGATGCGAGTTATCATTTGGTCCAGCATGCTATGTGCGGAGAATTTTCGTATCAACTGCAGCCGCGGCATTATCACGCTGTCATGTTTAATCTTGAAATGACGAACAGAGAAACATGGTTGCTGCTGCTCTCAATTGCTAAAGTTTATTCGCAGCGAGAATTGCTGCTGTGGCGAATTGACGGTTAATTGTTAATTGAAAGAAACGTGCTTACAAATCATTTACGTTAATGAAATGAGGTCTCAGTGATTTTCAAAATTACGAGTTTTAAGAGTACAAAGAATCTCTTATAAGAGCAAGAATAGATATTCACAAAGTTTTAGATATTAGTTTAGAGATATAACGTAATAGTAAATTATCTATGTGTTATGGACGTGCGCAAATATCAACGTCCCACTTGTTTGTACTTGAATAAACATGAGTGTAAAAAAACAATATGTAATACTGTTACTAAGCGTACATTTATCAAATGAATGAGAGTTTAATATTAATCGCTATAAATAATAATTATATAAAAATAAAACTTACATAAATAATTATGTATATAAATCTTCATCTTTTTTTTTTTGAAATTATATCACGTAATTACGCAACGTGCTTATTGTGTACCCGCATGCTCTTTGTATCTTTCGGTTAATTTCGCAGTTATTTGCTTTTGACTGTGAAAATCCATATGATGAAAATGTCGGAAATCTCATTGAACATGCGTCATGCGTAACTTACGCTCTAAATACCGTAGAAAACTCAATTATGAAATTCTTAACGTTGACGCGGTGTCAGGCTGTGTATTCCGTGTTAAACGGGACGCGATGCACGCGCTTACATGTCGTGCGAAATTCTACATGCTTATATGGCATTTCTGTCGTGTACATTGTCGACGCGCAATAATGAAAATTACTGCAATTATTCCCATGCTCATAGGTACACGTTAAAGTACTATTCGTGATTATACAAACGCGTCATTTTGTTCCGAGGGGAAATATTGGTAAAAGTTATCGATTCTTAATAATTACTGCGTTTCTGCAATTAATATCGTGCTTTTGAAAAATATAATCCATAAAAGAATTAAATCAGTTGTGACTTTATTATCTATTTTGTAGTTTATATTTGATTTTATCATTTTCTTTTATATTATTATTTTTTTAATTAAAAGAAGGATTAATTCAAAAGTTATTTTATTATATTTATTCTACTCTGTGTCTCATACTTGATTCTATCGTCTTTTTACTTGCAGGATCAACTTCTGTATTATTTTCTATTATATAGAAATATTAGCTGTTGTATTACATTTATATTTTATAAATTTGATTCAGGAGACGTCACGTTATAGATCTTGCTAGAGAGTTGAGCGTTATGTTTTTGCTGAAAGAAAGTTGTGCTAAGAAAAACTCGCAGGTTTTAACACAGTTCCCAAGGGGTGTCCTGCCAGCACGACATGCGTTGGCGGGATGTTATCTTGGCCTTAATTACTGCACTGCAAAGTCCATCGCAAATGCCAAATGAAAATCCATGTCGTCGAGGGCGGCAAGATGTGAGCGACGAGGGTTCGGTCGAGCGAAAAGTGCGCGAGCGGAGTGCGAAACAATGCGAATTATTGCACACGAATGCTCATGGCTATTGTGTAATGAGCGATTTTAAACTATCGACCGTGGTTGGATAACTTCTCGGCGATGCGCAGCCACTGAAATCTTCTGTGATGCGCGATGATGGTAGCCGCAGCTTTTGACCTTTGCGTTCCTAATTGTGTACCTTCGAATATTTATAATAAACGAAAATCATCGATCGGTGCTCCAGTGCGAGATTCGCATTCGAAGTATTCTTTATACACTAACGCGTTATAAGAAATTTTACATTATATGTATTTTGAAACATGAAGTAATCAAAATTTTTCTTTCAATAAAAATTTTGTATTATTAAATTTTTTATTATTTTGCATTAAATCATTGTCAACTTTTATTTCGACTTGTTTTATACGGCCATTTATTTATAATATCGTTATTTATACCATTTATTTATAATATTATTTATTGTGTTTTTTTTTAATTATACGGGATCTCTCCTTAATTTTATTTCATTGTGTGTATTTATGATTTAATGCACGCATCCTGTTAATCTAGAAATTTTTTGAAAAATAGGTTTGACCTTTTATTTAATAATTAAAGTATTGACTAAGCTATTAATTTTGCTTTGAAACAACATAACGATTGATAAATAAATAATTTAACTTTAATAAATGTATTTATCGAGGTAGAACCAGAAAGATTTCAAAAATTAAAAGAGAAAGAGAGAGAAATCATAAGGAAGAAAATTCGCAGATAAATTCGAAAATCTCCATATATTTTTATTTGTGATCTGCATATTTAAATATTTGTAATTCGATATAAATATACTGCGGCAATTTATTTGTGAACACTGATTGGCTATGATTTATTAAAAGCGTTTGCGTACTATCCTTGTACATACTTACGTCTATTTTCGCATATAAAGCGATAGTTCAGCGTTAGTGCGCAAGCAAATAACGCGTATATATATTTACAATATTGCGTCGCGGTAAAAATTGCATGCCTATCTCGCAGCGCAAAAAACCCGGAATCAGACGCACGCACGCGTGTGTATTGTACAAACACGCGTGCTTCACTTTCCGTGCCCTAATTACATTTGCCACGATACCTATATATACGTGGCCGGTGTGTGGGGCTCTAAGTGCACCGTCGTTGTTATGATGTCGCTGTGTTATGCCGCCGCTAGAACCCGCAATATCGCGGATGTCCTGTTCGTCGTTATCGATGTTAGGACGATGGCGAACGGATATTTTTACGACACGATGCTTTTCCGATGTCGTGAACTCGCCGACGATGTTACGGACTGATCGACCATGCGAGCTTTCGAGAGTTATGTGCATCGCTTTTCCTCGTGCTTGCTTGAAATTCAATTCGAACCCGTATGCGCACAAACGAGACATTTAAAGGTACATCGTCCTTGGTAACAAGACTTACACGTGCTCGGCCAGTTGATGGTTATGTAATTTAATAAAAAGCTAGTAACAATTTTACTTTGATAAACACAGCAACTTTTAATATAAGTAAATAATTCAGCTTTAATAAAGTATTTATTAAAACGGAATCAGGCTTTTAAAAACTAAAAAAGGTAGGAAAAGAGAGAGATTTATTTATAAACTGAATGTAAATTATTTGTAAAAATGCCATGTGAAAATACTGTTATCTACAATTGAAATAACATTTGTTATATATATATAGAAACATTTTATAATTGATATAACGTCGATTGATTTTATAAACAATATTTGTTAAAACTAATATAAAAATAATACGAGATTGATACGGAGTGAATAATTTCGCTGCATAGAGATTGGTTAATGCTTGATGTTGAATACTAATAAAATCAATAATATTCTAATAAATACTGAAGTATCCTGTTGCCTCTTTTTTAAAGGTTAGATTTTTTTAACTGGTACTTTTTTTTACCTCGGAGATACAAGTTGTGAATGTACAATTCTAATCTTGATTCAATGTCGCCTAAACGAACATGTCCGTGAAATTCGATACCGGTTAATCTAGTTGTTGCTTTAATTCGAGTTTCCAAAAGTCTCGTACGAGCACAGATGTGCCCGTTGAATGAACCAATTAATTTTTGTTTAGATCGAGACCCTTATCGAATGTATGCCATGGATCTCTTACCTTAAAGGCGTTTTAAAGCCGAAAGAGCGACGCAAGTCTGCGTCGAATGTGTGTCAAGAGTTTTGCAATATACACCGTGGTTGAACCAGTGGCATTAAAATTTAGATCTTACTCAAAGCCGATTGAGTTTTAAGTTTCATTCGTTGCAAGAGTTATGAATCGGATATAAATATCGTTCCTTCAGAGCTTCAATCTCATCGATGACACACACACATACACGTTTTTCCAATTATATTTTTACATTATTCGTTATTGTGGAAGTTATTAGGTAAGCTGATTTCACAAATAGAGTTGATCTTTTAACAGAAAGTATGGAAAATAATTTGTGAATCTTAATAATTAATCCTTGAGTTTAAATCTTTTTTTTTAAATAAATAGAAGAGTAAGATAACTACTTACGTAGATCATTCTCTATTTATTACATTGTTTTGCAATATTAATATTTATGGGTTATTATAAATTTTACTTTAATAGAGATACAAATTTATATATAATTAAATTTCTAACAAGTGTAATAAAACAATTTTAGCAAACATTTTACTACGTTATGACATTATTGCGATATATATCTATTCTATACAATACAAATTTAGTGTAACCATTTTTTTTTCTAAAAAGCTTGAAATTTTAATTGCCTCGGTAGTTTAATTGGTTAGGACACTTGCGCGTAAAGCAAGCGATCCGGGTTCGACTCCCGGCCGAGGTAATATTTTTCGCAATATATTTAAATTATTTTACAGATTTTTAATACGTCATTCATAGACTTTAATATGCCATTCAACGCATTATTAAGATCCAAGATGCAATGAGCATCAAAAAATTGTTAATTTAAATTCACACAAAAATTATAATAGAAGCATTCAATATCCAGCTTGACCGTAAATGGCTTATTCTCAACGGTATTTAAAATTTAAAGTTTTTTCTTGTCATATAGAGGAAATTTATAAATTCTATGATTTCCGTATTTGTACATCAAGGTGATTTTATTCCATTTATGGAGACATCTATCGTAATATGATATATTACAAGCGCGATTCTAAATCGCCGGAGACGGAACGCTCACCGGTGTAAAGCGTGCGACATTGCAAGTGACGTGATGTAGGTCAAATTTACTCCAGGATGGCATTTACTGTGTACGAGTGACGATTATATCTGTGTGCGCATCTCTGGAAATAGGTCATTATTAAATGGGTCAGGGTCTCTCTCTTTCTCTCTCTTTCTCTTTCTCCCTCCTTCTCCTGCGAGTAATCCCGCTTGCAAAGCTCGCCGCTTAGCGCTATTAAATGTATAATATTATTTTGTGTTCTTCACTTTCTTTTCACATGTAATTAATTGCACAGGAACAAAGAGTTATATGGCATTGTATTTACTCGTACACATAAAAGAGTCGATTTTTTCAATAAAATATGACGCTGAAATTTGGTCGGATTTCCTTGCGATTATCAACAATTCTATTTACTTCCAAGATATCCAGTTAAATATTTAAATTTATATGAACGAAATCGAGTTAAATGCGTAAAATGCACTCAGAAGGACTTTTAAAGGACTTGGAAGAGAATATCGATAGAGCTAACTTCATTGTAACTTTCTTCTATTGTTTGTGTTAAGGAAATTTTAAAGTAGAAAAAGCAGAGTAGAGAAAAAAGTGAAAAAGAGGGAAGCAGGAAGAGGAAGGAAGAACATCGTTAACCTAATGTTAATTAATGTTGATCTTGTCTGTGCAATTTAACTTTAAATTTTGCAGCGTTGGTTGCATCAAATTATTTTATTTTTTGTAAGCTTTTTTGTACATCATATATAATTCATTATAAATTGTTATATTTTTTTTAAGTATAATTTATTATAATTTATTATAATTTTTTAGATGATACAGAATTGAAGGTTTGTGTGAAAAATCTAATATTATGCAGATGATTGACAAATTTCGATAATGATAATTATATTAAAATTTATTTATCGGTAAAATATTGAGAAGAATTTTACAAGGTTTATAATATCCCTGTTTTAAATCCGATAATATTTAATTTCACCATTTAACATTTAATACCTCATTGGTTAATCCAATATAATACAAATGATGAAACCCATCGAAGTTTTGGAGTAATCTTGAAGCAAAGGCTTGACATTTATTTAGCAGAAATTACAGTACTTGTGAATTCTCGTATGCCAAGATATTTGACCTATTTTCGCGAGCTTTGGCAGGATGCGTATGCTTTTTCCACCATTGCCAAAGACAATGGGTATTATTTTATATATTGTAGCAGATCGACAGATATTGTTGCAGATATTATTGGTCCATGAAATAATTGTTCCTTTGGTGATATTTTTTCTATTATTAATTGTATATGATTTCCGTGACATTTCTCACAGCTCCTAATTTTGTTTTCGGAAATATATCTTGTTCGAGAAAATCTCCTGCTGCTTTTCAGGACAATCCCAATTTACGATTTTAAATTGACGAAGGCTTCTAAACGTGAAGTATACATAAATTTTCTGTTTTTTTGTTTTTTAACATTTTTATGAGTCATTGCATTTTCCATTTTTGAAAAGAATATCGAATCTTCAGAGTTTAAAACATCTCTATGTACTTATATGCATACAACACACACACACACACACATATTTCTTTTCGATTTATATTTTTTTTCAAAGTTATTTTATTTTAATATATTTAGATAAAGTTTCTTAATTTTTATGACTGGAACAATTTAGGCAATAAACAATTAAATTTCAAACCTGTTATTATTATTATTATACATAAATTATTTATTATAATTACGAAGCATTCTTTAAGATAAAGGATTGAGAAAATGTTAAAGACTTTCGTATTTTATTTAAATACTTGAATAAAGGAGTCTCGAGAAATTTTTGTCAAATTAAATCGATTTATATTTTGTCAAATATGCATTATTCTTTCGCATCTTATTAGATTAAGAATAAAATCGGTAAAGCTTTATTCATTCAAATCTAGATTTTAGGCTAAGGATAACGAATTTCTCTTGCAGTACATGACAGAGAAGATGGGCGGAGCGGAGGGAACGAAGCTCGACGTTGATTTCGTGGATATGGAGAGGGTGAGTAGTGTATTTTCGTACGTCTCAAGTGTGTGAAAAGAAGCGTCTTTCACATTTTTGAACAGTTCCTTTGTGAGGATGTCAGGAAAGAGATGACTAACATGTTCTATCTACTGATATTATTACTATATTTCAAAGATTTTCCCCGCTTTTTTCGGCTCCTGAGGATCTTATTAATCTTTTAAAAGTGCTTTTATGACGCTCTTTTTATATTTGAAGCCAGAAGTTGTGAGATTGACTGTGTTATATATAAAACAAAGTTCTAAAAAAACTTTTTACTGTCGGCTTCTTTCTTGAATACTTTGCTTTAACGTAGATGACGTGATACAATTTTTTATCAAGAATTGTGTTTGCAAATTCCTTCTTTGTAATCACTTTTAATTCTTTGATTACTACTATTCTTTGTGTACATTCTTATATTATTAAAACTGATTTTAAACACCGATAGTAATTTAGACATATAACACAAATCCTTGAAGAGATTATTTTTATAGAACTTTTTAAAGCAAAAATACGAAGATGAAAATTAAACTGGATATATTTATTCTTACAAGAAGAATGTTTTTTTTAGAGGTATAATGAAATAAATTTATTTAATATAATTATAAAAAAATGATAAAAAGCTTAATTCTATAAAAGAGTTAATACTTTCGAAATTTATTTGCTAAAAATTTATTATTAAATTTCACAGAGACATATTAGGTATTTTGAAATTTTTCCAATAAATCACTTTATTTGATTATATACTCACTTATAGAAATATCGAAGATCGATAAATATAATACATATCGCGAATAAAGCTTTATATAGAAATTCTTCGCATTCTTGTCGAAATAAACTGACAAGACATACGAAGGATTCACAGAAACACGTCATTATCCATAGAAAACAGACGTCACGTATGAGCTTGTGGAGGAGCTACAGATGAAGACGAAGGAGTTCCTTCAACCAAACCCAACAGCAAGAGCGAAGATGGCTGCAGTGAAAGGTATCAGCAAGCTCAGCGGTCAGGCAAAGGCGTCCACTTATCCTCAGCCGGAAGGTGTACTTGGCGATTGCATGCTCACTTATGGCAAGAAAATGGGCGAAGACAGCATTTTCGGTACATACTTAAATCCAACGATTGCGTTATTCTTGAGAAATTCGAACCTCGAAAATCTTCTTCCGAATAGAAATTGTCCTTTAAAATTATTTTTGCGATGATTATTGCGGTAATTATTTTTACTCGTGTTAAAATTTTATTCCATATATCATATTCATAGATTTTATTTTTCATAAAATTATTCTCTTTTATACGCAACAATTGTTCAGAGACAAGAGACGTTATTGTTTCAGATAATTAAAAAAATTATTTTACACGAGTTAGGTGTTTTTGTGTCGAAGTTTGTTCTTACGATTAAAAAAAGCGAGAAATATCGAGGATCGATAGGTCGTATTGTCTCACCTTATCTGCTACCCATTTTTATCAATCCTTACAGCCCAGGCTCTCATTGAAATGGGCGAAGCCATGAAGCAGATGGCAGACGTGAAGTATTCTTTGGATGATAATATCAAACAGAACTTCCTCGAGCCACTGCACCATCTGCAGATCAAAGATCTCAAAGAAGTGATGGTATGATTCGAAAAGTTGTGTACAGTTGCGCTCGAGACTGGGCGCTGTCTCTTCACAATCTTCACGCGTTCGATCTTTTCCAATTTGTTGATTTCAGCACCATCGGAAGAAACTGCAAGGCCGTAGACTGGACTTTGATTGCAAGCGAAGACGCCAAGCAAAAGGTATGTTGAGGTTTCCCGCATGTTGCCCTCGCTTCTCGTCCTCTCGTGTTTCCGCGCTCCTATTGATTTATTTAGCCGCGCGCTCGCGGCCCGTCGTCGCGCGTGTCCTTGCACGAACACGTCCTCGTCGCTCGCGATGTCCGTGATTCGAAGAGTTGAAATAAAAACTGCGACGGAGCTATAACGCGAGTAATGAGGCTGGACGATTGTGTTTCCGACGCGGGGAGCGAAACTAGAACCGCATGATTTTCGCGAAACGGCGGGGTCGTAAAAGAAAACGCGGAAGGCGATATTACCGGGCTCTAATAGCGAAAGGTCACAGTTACAAAAATTGTTCCTATTAAAGAGATAAAAGTGCTGTGGCCGAGGCGGAAATTATTTTCTTCGAGAAAAACTTGAGTTACAAGATGATCATTTTTGAAAAACTTAGGTATAGAGAAAATGATGCGCCGCTTTATGTAACAATAAAAGGCTAGCAATTGCAGAATTGTCACTTTTGAGCAACGACGCTTTTTATATTTGTAATTCTTTTTTCTAGGAACTATGTACTTAAAAAGATATTCATAAAAATAAAAGTTTAGAAGTTTTTGGAGTTTTTTTCTCATCTTTGTGAGTCATATTTATATCTTTTTATATCTTGTACTATGTAACTTTAATCTTGTCAGATACTTTGTTATTTTTACCATATAAAATTTCAGTATTGTTTATTATTATGTTGACAAACGATTCGCTTTGATAACTATATCGTTTTTCCGCTCTCAAGATTTCCATACAATTTCCATTTTTATTGTTTATTTATACTTCTATATATATTTTACATCTTGTACTGTGTAATTTCAATCTTGTTTGATACTTTTTTATTCTTGCCAGATAATTTCAGGATTGTTTATTATTACACAAACGATTCACTTTGATGACTATATCGGTTTTACGCTTTCAAAATTTTTAGACAATTTCCATTTTAATTGTTTACTTATACCGTAATGGACACATCTGTGAATTTTCAAGCTCTTTACGAAAATAGCTTTATTTTCCATTGTTAGCATGTATGTGGGAAAATAGAAATATGTTTCATACATGATTCGCTCCCTCAGAATAGGATTATCACAATAAAATCGTTGCATGAATAGATGCAAATAGGTACAATTTTTTTGCAATAGAAAGGAGATTTTTTACTCGCATGCTGCGTTGCATGAGCACGATGGAATAGAATCACAAATCAGTGCTATAGTGTGGACTCGAAAGTAGGGCGCGAGAAGAATACTTTTCTTTAATGTGCGTTTTATACAAAGAAATTATTTTTTTTTGTTATATGATTAGCTCGCTTACTGCATTACAGCCATTACTAAAGATGCAAAAAAATGTATACAATAATTTTGACAAGGGAGTTGTATTCTACCGTTTATATTATATAAATATTACGTGCAATATTTATAATTATAAAAAAATAATAAAATACTATGTTAATTTATTATATTAATTATATAATATTTGACAAGAATAACACATTGCGTATAATAACAACTGTTAGATCCAAGTCTCTGTTAAAATTTAAAGAACTTGAGCATAATATTTGTAAATTACTTTGAATTTTTAATTTGTTCAGAATAATTTTAATAGATAACTGGATTTAATATATACTTTAATAAATAAATAAATGCCGATATGTGTATAACTCAAATTAAATTGACGTTTTTATTATCTAGCAGAATTTTACATTCAATAATAATTTTTGTGAGTTTTATACGTACATCTCGTTTTTACGCTTTTCGAACTTGTTAATACATTGATACGTTTTCCACCGCGATTCTTTTTGTGTTATCTGCTCCGAATGAATTTGCTTTTCGCTTTTTGCTGATAATCGGTGTGCTCTGTCTGTTTTTCATTGGGCAACCGCTTAATTATTAGCGACTGGGAAAAGATCCGTCAGTCCGCATTTTGGAAGTCCTGCGCGATTGGGCATCTCGTCGCCATATACTGGTATGACTTCCATTGTGTGCTTAGGAGCTTATAATTTTATTACATATTGTACTCCCATTGTGTGCATACATTTTCTGAAAAATTTCCAAATAAAAAGAATTTAGAAACTACTTTGAACTTGCGTAAAATTGAAAATTGAAATATTTTTGGACTTTTTACATAAATATTCTTGAAAATTATTTTTGAACACTCTCTAAAAACTTTTTAATTAGATATTTGTATTAAATATATTTTTATCTTTTAGATATCTTTCAACAATCTAAAAATTTAAACTACTTTACCGCTTATGCGTTGTTGCTAGTTTTAGAAATAATTAGAAAAGATAATTTTATTAAAGTCACGACACTTAAACACGCTTCTTTGTGACATCGGAAATACATTTGCGCGCTCGTAGAACGAATTACGCTTTCTTGTACCCGTTATATTGTAAGTGTTTAGATTTAGGAAATGAAGCAACCCAGTAGTGCAACCTTTTTAATTTCGTTGGCGGGGCAACCGTTTGCGAACAGGTTCTCACGTTTCAGACGAGGAGATTCGTCAAGCTGAAGAGAAGTTTGAGGAGAGTCTCCATTTGGCACAGATGGGCATGTTCAATCTGCTGGAGAACGACGTGAGTCGTCGTCATTAGTCCGAAATGTTACGTGATGCGTACAGATCGAGATTCTTATGACGTTCTTTTGCAGGTCGAACAAGTAGCACAATTGGCAACTTTCAGTGAGGCTCTTCTTGAATATCACCAACAGTGCACCGAGGTCCTCAGAGGATTGACGGAAACACTCTTGGAAAAGTATGTCTGATTATATGCAAGTTGTTAGCAAAATCGATGCTGAATGTATCGATACGAAATCTATTTCCATGATTTAAAAAAAATGCGTATTAAAAATAGATATACTTATATCTTTAAAAGTAATATACATGTATATTTATTTCCTTTTATCTTATAAATATCGCTATAAATTAGAATATTCATTTTCTTCATAAAACACGTTATTATATTTTTTTTATAACTAAATAAATAAATATATTAAAATTGTGAAAAAGTTGAAAGATAAGAGTCAGCGTAGTAGGTACTACGTGTGCAAGTTTATGTTTAATAAAATATACTTATTTGAAATTACATTACTAATAAATTACATTACTAATAAGTTTGTACGTTCAGCTAAACTTAGAATTACCTTCAGCGAGGAAAAAAATACATGACCCACGCTATATATGTATCAAACTGTGAGATAAAGTTACTTTTAGATTTCCAGAACGATTTTTGTTCTAAAAATTGCCAAATAATGCAACTTTTAGTTTTAGAACTCTAAAAGTGATTTCATCTCAGTTTTTTTGGTAGGGTAGGGCCATATATTTTTTCTTTGCTAAAAATGATTCGAAGTCGAATCGTACGAACGATTTATTAAGTAGTATAATTTCAAATAGATTTTATTGAACATATACTTGTATATCGCGCTGATATTCTCATATTATTCCACAATTTTTAATACATATATTACTTTTTCGAAAGTTCTATTTACTTTTGTATTTAAATAAATAAATCAATCTCTTACGTTAGAGAAGATAAAGATATTGAATGACTGAACAATCCTTTCCTCGGGTAATGTTGTCTACGAGTAAATGTTTTGCTCTTTAGGAAAGAAGAGGCCCTAAATAGACCAAAGATGGAATTTGTGCCGAAGACACTGGCGGATTTGCACGTGGATAGTGGATTGCCGACGTCGGACCATATGAACGGTGGGAACTTCTCTCTTCACGGTAAAACGCATTTCACAAATACTCCACTACACTACGCGATGACGTTCGGGTGGTTTGGCTGTTTATCTGTTTCTTGTTTTTTTTCTTATTCTCTTTCTCTCATGCCAGGGGGGTGTTTACGTTCTATATTGACCAATATATATACGTACAATGCATTCTCCTGTCTCTCTTACCCTGTATGGAGCGCTTTCCGGTAAAATTCGGCGAGATGTGTCCAATATTCTGTGTTTTTTTTTCGCACGTGTACAAATTTCGCACTTGTCAAAACTGGATGGAACAAGTCACTGAATTTTACCTCCTGAAATATTCGTTTACGATATAAATGAAGTATTTTTTTTCGTTATCTTTTATAAATTGAATATTTGAACCTCCCGAGACGGAAATTTTAATTGAATAGTTGACTTTATGCAAGCTGCATTTCAAGAAAAAGAACACTTTTTACATTTATTGATACATTTCAAAATGAACGAACAAGTAAGATTGAGGAAAATAAAACCAGATTTAGAAATTCCAATTTAAATCAAGTTTACTTGAGAAGAGTTAACGGAACGATGTTCGATTAGTTCTCGTCGAATAAATCTCCGCGGATCTGCTAAATAGACGTTCATTGTTCTATCTATCAATTACGTATATCGGACGTTAATCCCTTAAGGATCGATCTCCGCGATTACACGCGAAATACACGCACACACGGTACACACGCTCACTGTCACATCATCCTATTCTTCCTTTGATTGTGCTGTATGTATAATGTGGCATACCTGTCTGTCCTTCTGACACAATGTAGGGGCAAGTCGGTCCGGCTCTCCGACTCATGCGGACGGGAAGCGCTCGCAGCTCGAGCTATTTCCGGCCGGAAACCCGCCACAATCTACCAATGGTAAACTTTGCATGGGGGTTTCCTCGTCTCTCTGTCCGGCAAACAAACGAATTCCTTTTCGAATCTGTCGAGGGCAGTTGCACCAACTGTTGCGTCATTAAGGACGCCGTAACTATCTAAATTTCTCACTCTATCTAATAATGATTCAGAAATAGATATTGAATTTCACATCATGATTAATAATAATCGGAGCTGTTGGTGCGATTGATCCTGCGGAATTCTCTTTCATTTTTCTTTCAATGGGATTCTCTACCGCTTTCTCGTATATAACAACGCTGATCACCTTGCACGTTTATTTAGATGTCTTGCCACTCTATGCTGTAGAAGAGGGATTGTGTTAAATAGATTTTAAGTGATTGAATGAAATACAAATTGAGCAAGAGGGAATATAGTGAATTTATAAATTTTATTAATTGTTGTATTGTAAATTAAAAATAGATGTATTTGGATACATTTTAGACCAGAAGGTGCAGCAATTTTTTAAATAAAAATATAATCTTCTTCATATTTTAATTTGATAATCTTTTTCAGTCCAGAAAAAAATTTTTGAAAGATCATGCTTTTTCCTAAGATACTTTAAATTTACCAATATTTATTTGAAATTAAGATAATTGTCTCCTTCTTGCTATAACGGTTTTAGTTAGCTCACACAGCTTCCATTGATGAGTAAACATTAATTTCAGAAGCTTACTTTTATTCTCGAGTATATTTTCAGCGATGTTATTTTACTTTCGCAAATAGAAAGAAATCGACATTACACACCGCTGCTTTGTGCGACACGATTTTTCCGCGCAAGATGGTTCACGACTATACCAGATTGTTAAATGTGTAGTTTGTGAACGTACGCGATGCAACATGCAGTCACACTGTGACGTGTTTTTTTACGTCATATTAGCGAAGTTTTTAGTAGTTTAGCACACTCGTGCCCACTATTTTCAGCTTCACCCTTGCCCTCGCCGAGCAAATCACCAGCGAGAACGCCGATAACACAGAGAACGCCTTGCTGCACAGCCCTGTACGACTTCGAACCTGAGAATCCTGGGGAACTTGGATTTAAGGCAAGTTTACGATTATTTGTCAAGAACTTAAGCAATATAGTTTAAAATATGCAGACACACAATATAATATATTATATTCTTCAAATAAATATATTATAAAGGATGCCTTATTAAATGATTTTTTCAAAGATCTTTTATTATAAATCTGATTTTATAAATGAAATAAAGTTCATAGTGTATAAAATCTTAAAGCTTATTTTGTATATTATGAACTCAATTCCATTTTTTGTTTCTATTCCTTTGATTACCAATACCGAACTTTCGTAACTATTTTAACCATTTTTCTTAATCCTTAGTACGCATGATGGGTCATTTGTATCCTGTACATTTCTTTAAAAAATTAGAAGCATTTGGTTAAATAATAATTTTTATTCTTTTCTTTTTTTTTAAATACATAATCTTAAATATTTTCTAAATATATTAAAGTATATATATAAGAATCAGTTAATTATTTTTTATATTTGTAAAAGTTAAAATTAATCCTGATATGAACGATTCATCGTGTAGAAAAGGACTGAAAAATCATCATGTGTACAATGGATTAAACTTCGGATTCTTTTTAAAGGCGATTAACGATTTATGCATAAACGATCTCATCTTCTTTAAAGGAGAACGACACGATCACCTTGACCCAGAAGATCGACGAGAATTGGTTTGAGGGCAGTCTGGACGGCCGCACCGGTTACTTCCCCGTGACCTACGTGCAGGTCGTAGTGCCATTACCCTAAGAGGACGCCGCGCATCTCGAAGCCAAAGACCCAGCGTATTCGTTCACTAGCGTCTACCATTACAGGATTACTCTACTCTCCAGCTAGCCTAAAACCTAGACGACCTTTCGACGACCTATCTTTATCTATCTATTGTCACTTATGTTGCGATTTCCAGCTTACGTCCAAGACACGATCCCGAGTTTCTCTAGACTTTTCTCCCCGCCTTCTACACAGAGACCCCCTTTCCCCTCCCTGCAGACCCAAGAATAGACCTCTGTTACGCATGTTAATGTACATATATAATGTTATAGTGTATTTTATCGACGTAAGGATCTTCGCGCGCGCAGAGATACACACACATACACATGAATGCATACCCAGGAAGTACGTGCATAGATACATACAGACATATTATACATATATATACAGATACAAACGCGTAAATACCTATGTTAATATATACACACACATATACAGACATACAACACATCAAAGTACCTACGATAGCAGTTCACTGTCAAGGGCGGCTCTCTCCTCATCTCTACTTTTCTACATTTTATCTTCCATCTCGTCGAGATGCTTTCGGGATATTTTCAATACAGTTCGAGTGCACAAAGGAAGAAATTCGAGCCTAGCGTGAATCGATTTATGGTGGAGCGCGAATTTTCCGATAGTTCCCTCTGGCATTTAATTAATTTTGCCACCGAAAGTGTCGTATCGTTCCGATAACGAACCGATAACTCGGCACTCGTTTGCTTTGTTGCAAGCTATACGTCGCCCAGATATTATGTATCGCTTGTGGATTTTGGATCGGGGTGAGATTACTCCAGTCAATTGAATTCGTCGTTAAGGTAAGTGGAAGCTTTTAACTGTAGCATTCATTGTTGAAACTAGTGTCAATTCTGATTAGATCTCTTTTCTTAATATCATATTATTAATATTAATACCATTAATATAATTATTAATATAATTATTAATAGTATTAAAGACGCGCGGAGAATAGTTGGAATTACTAATCAGCACTAAATATTTCGATAAAATGTTAGTTATTATCAAAGAAGTTATTAGCTTCCAATATAAAAGACATTATTGAAGGATCTTGAGATCCTTTTTTGACTGTTGTATTTTTTATTGTTACATATTTAGTTGTTAAGAGTGAATTTTAATACGACTGGAGCAATCTTACTCCGTTCTATTCATTCGTTCTCCTTTTGCAAAGGATTCTCGGTCACTAAGCCGCGTAAGTTTCTTTATGACTCTCATTTATCATGTTAATTAAGCGCACGGCTTTCCTTGTGAGAGTTTGATCATTCAACTGCGGCACGTGTTTTGGCGTTGGTACGCGCGATACAGCAAACTCGTTACTCGTGTAATGTACTCGTATAATAATAATGTTATTGCAATTCGTGTTTCCATTCCTCAGTCGACTGATTGTCGTTCGTTTGGCTGCTTATCACTCATTAGTTTTCTTCGTTTTTTCTTTTTTTATATTAATTGCTAGACGACACTAGTTAGAAGTTAGTATTTACTTTAAGCGAACTTCGAAATGGCGGCAAATCTCTTCCACGAAGTCATTATCTGTGATTATTATAGATATTGCTGGCATTGATTGTTTTTGACAGTGACGATCTAGTTCCGTTGTCAGAAAACTTTCGAGTCGATGTTGATGCTAGAACAAAATTTATAATGAAAAATCGATTTTAATGAGAACATATTGTTTAATCAATTATTTTTTGTATTCGCGTGACTATATACTACTGTTTCAGATTTATTTTTAGTCGTGTAAAAAGATACTTGATGATTATTGAAGTTAGCTATGGCGGATTTTGGAAAAAAAAGATTATTTCTGTGCCAGAAACATCAATGCTATTGTAAAACTATGTGAAATGGTGGAAAGTAATATAATTTTTAATTATTACAATATTTATAATTTTTTAATTTTTTAAAATCGAATTTGGGCACGTTGAAATTTTTCCGATATCCTTTACGATATCTTTTACACAATTCGCATAATTTTAAAGAAATGTTTAATTAATTATTCATAATGTAAATATTGTTTGTGTATATTTCAGATATGTTTTGAAAACGGCCAGAGACCAATAGTTTTAATTAATTATTAACTTTCGATATAGTAGCGCAAGCGTAAAACGAGAATAAGGAGTAACAGACTTCCTGTTTAATCCAGAATGTTAAGTAACATACCTATTTTACGCGAACGCCCGGCAACAGTTATTCTTTCGTAGCATCCAGAAATCAGGTTTCCTTTCTCCTCTTTTTGACTTTGTATGAGAGTTCAACCGCCAGAACAATGAAAGTAATTAAGGAACTTGGTTATTTGTTGCCACGTGGATTTTAGGTAAATCTTCGAGCGAGATATCTGCTAAGCATAATGTAATGACACTAGAGTATATTACTTACACGTATACATATTGTCGATAAAGGCGACGGCGAAATGTATTCATTATCATTGTTCATATATTTTATTGTCATGATTATATCATTGTAATCGCCGCACTGGCAAAAATGTTCTTGATTACATATATACATTGAATTCAGAACGGAATTCTATTAAATCGATTTCAGACTCTGGACATTTTCCGAATTGAATGTACTATTAATAGGATAAGGCAGATACGCAAAAGATACATAGGATAATCTGATTTTATAGTTTTCAATTTTTTTTCCCAGTTAATTTGTACCGTTTATTAAGCTACTTTCCGAGCGATAACATAAGATTCTCTCTAGATAGAGCGTAGAGCTAAAGAATTTTTAAGAAAGTTAGAATTTTCGTACGTAGTGTAGCGCGATATAAAGGAAGACAGATGGCTTAATAGTGATAATATCTCTTACATTCCGTTGAAAATTAGAATACCTACAATATACAAATATTAAAGTTACATAGCTGTAGTAGAAATACAGTCAAATCGGAGAATGTTCTTTGTCCTGCAGAGCGATATGCCGAGAACGAAGCACGTACGTTCATAATTAACTAAAGTTTATGATCGCTATATCGATTAACATACCATCAATGTTATCACTTGCTGCTATCACCGTCGCCAGTTAAGTCCTTACTTGAGACAGGCGACAAGTAGTAACGGAAGTCAAGTCGTGGAATATGGAGAAAAAGGATCCGCATGCAAATTTCACCATTATAATTGCTGTGAGATAAAAACGAAATCCTTTTCGGAACTCGAGATGTTATCGATGTTGTGCAATATTAAGAGTTTAACATCACGGTGTTTAGCCGGTGGGGGCCATCGTTGGATCAGTGTTTCTCAAAACATCGTGAAGATTTACGTGAGAACGGAGGGAGGGGTGACAAAATGGAGCGAAAGTGAAAGACGAATTGTTTTGAATTAGTCCAATTTTGAATTGGACTAATAATTACTTTTACTAATTAACGGATATGCAAAATGTAATCCAGAAATATCAAAAATGTATACTATTTATTTCTCATGTGTAAAGGCGCGCCAATCAAAGTTTCCGATCACTTTCGTTCCAGTATCTTGTCCGATGCGAAACGAAAAATTCGTAATAAACGGACGTGAACATCAGAAATGATTTTCATTTTTGGTTATTCGCATAAATAATATATTTTGCCCGTTGGTGAAATTACTTTTTAGAAACTTCAAAATTCTTGTGAAATTGAATCTATATTAGATAAAACAAATATGCATAGTATGGCTTGAAGTTATGATTCAACATTCTTCAATTAATTATCTGCATAAATCAATTGTCTGAGCTAAAACATTAATAATATATTATAAAATAACGTAGACAATGATAGTTGAAATTAAAAATTAATTGAATTGTTATATTGCAGATATAATAAATAGTAATGTTTGATTTTTAATAAATTTTGCATTATTTATAATAAGAAAAGAAGATTAAAGAATTGCTTATTAAATTTTCGATGCGAATAACCGAAGATTGAAAGAAGCGGCTTCGACCCCTCACAGCTTAATCGTAATGGGATCACGCTTTTTGTCTATATATAGTGGGAGACTGGTGAAGCTTTGTCAATTAGAACGATAGCAATAAAACGCTGATTATTTCGCGTAGAAAGTTAGGGGCGGATGATGATTATTTAGGGTCCGAAGCTAATCATTTCTAGGTCCCCAATGAACAACGGAAATTGAGAAAGAAAACAGTTAATATTTCTTATTCTACGTAAACCTATCGCTATCAAAATGTATAGACATATATTAGTGGTCTTCGAAAATTTAACAGTTTTAATAGATTAATGTAATTTAATTAATTTTAATAAATTATTTAATGTAATTTTAATAAATTTTAGTAAATGATAAGATAATGTTTTAATGAGAAATATATGTTCTAAAATTTTCAATTAAATCTTTTAAAACAGCGTTTTAATTGAAGAGTTAGTTCTACGCAAAAGTATAATGTAGAATGCTGAGAATAGTAGTATTTTTGTGATGTTATGTATAATTTAAAAGACAAATATTTAGGAACGAATATTTAGAAATGAAGTTATGTGGGGATCGCTTGATTAGTAGGATCCGAGCATAAATATTGTCGCTGTCCGTATAAATCCGTTCCTGATCGAGAATTCTCGCCGATTGGCAGAGGGAAGAAATAAATTTGAGAAACACTGCATGGGGGGGAAGAAAAGAGAAATATACATACATATGCTATTATTACTTGTGTGGAAAGAAATTTATATTGCTGCGTGATATACTGTGTTAATTTATATATATCGCGTAGGTCCGCGTTTTGCGTTCGATTGTTCGTGGACCGGTTCGCGCAATTTGGCATGGCAGATAAAAAAAAGAAGGGGAATAAGAAGAAATTTGAGAAAGGCGGCGAGACTGGCGCGATCGCGAGAGAGAATGAACTTAACGATAAATACTAAAATTGGTATCTTATTCTATAAATGTTGGCTATTGTTAAATGTTGAATATTGTTCAGCGACAAGTTCGCATGTCTTCGCACGAGGAACACGTGTTTTTATCACTAAACATTTTATTTTTAAATATTTGTAGCTCTTCATGATCTAAAGTAGTTTCGAAAGAGTATTTAAATCGCTCCATATATCAAACTGTGAATCTTTAATAAAGTCTTCACACATTGTCAATTTTTATCGTATAATATATTAAAAAATATTTAATATACACCTTTATCGGTATTTTATAAAGCGAAAAAGTATTTTAATATTTAATATAATAATTTTGATAGGACTCACTTATTTATCTTGGAAGTAATATAATTATTTTACTTAACTTTATGCGATTTAATTTTATTAGTTGTACCTGAACATAGTTTTAATCGTATTTAAAGTAAGATAAAAACAAATGGATAATTTTTTATAGATATATTTTCAAGATTTTTTTAACATAAACGCGTGTTTCTCGGGCGAGCGTGACGAGCTTTCCGCGTTCTAATTGTAATTTAATCTATTTGGGGATCGAGCAGACGCGCCGGATCTATCGATTCCCGCAAAAAGAAATCACTGAGCATCCTTGGTCACGGAGAAAGCTTTTGGTGTTTTTCCCTCTCTTATCCACTTTTTCTCTCAAAACTTCCTTTTTACTCTTTATCTCTTTCCTTCTTTTCCTTCCTTCTTTCAACGTAAACGTCTCACTCCAACTTCCTGTATGCGTATAGGATCGGTACGAATCTCGTGTTTCTCGGCTGTGCTGGGCCCACTTATATTTTGTAAGCGCCAGAAAATCCGGGATTGGCGGGAGATTCGAGATGCGTCGCGCGCGTTATTAAAAAAAAAAATCAGGGCCCTTCCCCTCGACAATATCCTGTCCTCCCCGGATGCACCCCCGCCCCGAGCCATTTCCCGTTGATCCCCATTTGACAAAGTGCGAAGGGGGCGACCAGTGGATGCAACACAGTGATACTTTCAGACAATACATTACGATTAATTACACTTGTATTGGTAATAAATTAATCTACTACGATTATATTGAACTCGATTAAAGAGAAATATACGATATATATATTCGATTTCGGTCAAT